TGGTGTTCCACACACATTGCTTTTGACTAAGGAACTTAGTTCACAGCCAGAAAAGAATGACATTAGGTCCATGTTCTTAGATCCACTGGTCTTATTATGTTCTCCATCATCTGAAGCAGCTTGGCTTGATCAATAGTGGATGGCCTACTGAAGGCACAGTTACAGTGCCAAGTAGGTGACAGTAATGTGGAAGGCTGGACCTCTCAAATCCAGAGGTGGTATATGCTTTGAGTCAGGTCCAATATATGGTACAGTTTTCCCACAGCCAGGATCCAGGAATCAAGTGGTAGAAATTTTTGCTTCCTGTTCCCACAAACTTTAGTTCTGTTGAGTTAGGTTTGGTTTCAGAGTGGGACACACTCCTGCCAGAAGACACAACAAACATTCCATTGAACTGGAAGCTCAGACATCTCCTTGGTCAATTTGGGCTGCTGATGCCCTTAAGCCAAAGGCTAAGAAAAAAATAGCAGTGTTAGGAAGGGTAATCTGATTGATTCAGATTACCAAGGAAGAAATGGTATTGCTTCTCTGCAATGGAGGTAAGAAAGATTATGTATGAATGCAGGAGATCTGTATTTAAAGTCAATGTGAAAAATACAACCTAATCCAGGTCTTTCAGAAATGGGTCATTCCTCCAGTAGAAGAACCAAACCCTGCTGAATTAACTGCTGATAATGAGGGAAATACAAAATAGGTAGTAGAGGAAAATGATTATAAATACCAGGCAAGGCCAGGTAACTAGTTTTAGAAAGAAGGATCATCACTAGAAGTGTTTCTATTGTATTTTGTTAAGGAGATGTTTACATATGTATATACACATATATTACACTATTTAATGCCAACTGAGATACCATTGGTGGTTAAATGTAAATCTATATTCTTACATTACAATTATGAGACACTAAAAGACTAACCAAAGGATTTTGCCATCTGTTATTAAATATACAAAACATTTGCCATTGTATGTGGGATAGTTATATTATATTAGGTAAAATTGCTCTTAATGTATCCCTGAAGCTATGGAGGTGGTTCAGTAAACAAAGCTCTTGGTGTGTGTGTGTGTGTGTGTGTGTGTGTGTGTGTTTGTGTATGAGGAAGATTGGAGTTACATCCCATTTGCTGGATGCTACAGTGGGTATCTGTAATTCTTATCATGCTTAAGGAAAAGTTAGAGGCAGAGGCTGGAGAATTCAAGCACTTGTGAGCCAGCATTTTTGTGTGCCCTAATGAGAGATCCTATGAGGCCTTGAGGAAGGTAAGTGCTAACACTCAAGACAGTCCTCTGATCTTCAAATGTGTGCTCCTTGCCAGCATGTGCAGACTTGAACAGTCATGTATCCACAATACAGACATCACACATGCACATATAAAAACAGTAAGTTAAAACAAGTAAATAAAACACATTTCTTGAGTTAGGGTGAACGGCCCAATCTGAAGATTTCTGAATGTAAAATGTTAGTGGTGTGTCCTCCATATCATTGTCCACTTGGTAATGATATATTCTATTGTTTTCCATAAATGAATTTATCTTTTGGAATTTTTTTTATCTTGCAACACATATTTATTTTTATAATTGTAAAAGTCTTAGCTATATGTTTTGCTGGATAGTTTTATGTCAACTTGACACAAGTTTGAAAAAAGAGTCCCAAGTAGAAGAATGCCCCAATGAAATCATGCTATAGGCAAGCCTATTGAGCATTTTTAAAATTAGTGATTGATGGGAGAGGCTCACTCTATTGTAGGTGAGGCCACCCTTGGGCTGGTGGTCTTGAGATCTGTAAGAGAGCAGGCTGAACAAGCCATGAAGAGCAAGCCAGTAAGCAGCACTCCTCCATGGCCGCAGCATTAGTACCTGCTCCCAGGTTTCTGCCCTCGTAAGAGGTTTTGTTCTGACTTCCTTTGATGATGAACACTAACACGTAAGTGTAATTCAAATGAACTCTTTTCTTTCCAAGTCACTTTTGGTCATGGTGTTTCACTGCAGCAACAGTAACCCTAAGATACATTGGTACCGTAGGGACTTTGACAAGTCTGACGATGTTTTTGGGTAGGTTGTGGAAGGACTTGGAACTTTGGGCTCTCAACATGGAGTGTTGAGAGCTCACTGGTTGTTCTGTAGGAGCTTGAGAGATAAGAAATGCAGAGAATGGAGGCTGGCTTGTGAAAGAGGGAAGTTTGAGAGTCACTAAAAGACTCTCTCATGGCCATTATGTATTTTAAGTTAAGAATCTCTGGTTCTGCTTAGCTGGGGCTGAAGAATTAATTCTTGTGATTCTTCTTGTGATTAACAAGATACAAGAACCACTAAAGTGAATCCTTTCCTTTGCTGGGATAATTGATGCTGGTCAGCTGGAGTTGAGAAATTAGGGATTAAGAAGAGGCCAGCATCACTGAGGTGAAACTGTAGAAAGTGTTGCCCTAGAGTCTGCAAGCTGTGTTCAGAAGTGGCCAAGGTCGTACAAACTGGGTCAGGTGTAAGCATCCCCCAGATGGTACAGGTTTTGAAGGCATGAAGGAGTCATGCAGAGCAGCTGAAGCTTGGCACTGGTGCTAGATCAAGGCAGGGCAATGGTGAAGGTGCAGCTCCAGCAGCGGTGGAAACCCCAGGACTGAAGAGGTCATGTAGAAAGTTGAAGCTTTGCACCATGAAGAGAGCACAGGAGAGGTTATGGTGAAAGTGCTGCCCGGTTTCCGTAGAAGACTCCTGGAGCCAGTCTGAGCCTAGAAGACAAAGCATGTGTGTTGCAGAGGATGGGGCCTGGGAAGTGACCCAGGCCCTTTGGAGGAGCCCAGAAGGTTGTGAGTGAATCTCAGATATAGGACACTGTGTGATTTACACTGTTCGAGTTTGATTTTGTTTTGGTCTAATTGTGACTGTGATCTGGTTCTAACCTCTCCAGGAAAGCATTTAACTTATTTTTGGTTTTATAGGAAGGAGCTCAGAGTTGAGAGACTTTTTATTTAAAAAAAAATGGATTTTTAAAGGAGACATTGAATTTTTTAAAGAGACTAAATTTTTAAAGCGCTTGAATTTGTGAAACGTTAAGTTTGCAAAATATCTTACACTGTGATGTTTATATTAATGTGTGATCTTGGGGATGATCAAGAAAGAAAAAGCTGTGGCTTTATGTGATGTGTTTGTGGGTCAACAAGTGATCAATTATGCTGGGTATTTTTATGTCAACTTGACAAAAACTAGAGTCATTTGAGAGGAGGGACCCTCAATTGAGAAAATGTATCAGTAAGACTGGGCTGTAGGCAAGCCTGTAGGGAATTTTCTTAACTGGTGTTTGATAGGGAAGGGTCGAGAGCATTGTGAATGGTGCCATTCCTGGGCTAATGATTCCTGGGTTCAATAAAAAAGCAGATTGAGCAAGCCATGGTGAGCAAGCCATGGTGAGCAAGCCAGTAAGCAGCATTCAGACTTCTGCCTTCAGGTTCCTGCCCTGTTTGAGTTTCTGTCCCGAGTTTCTCCAGCAATGAAGAATGATGTGGAAGTATAAGCCAAATAAACCCTTCCTTCCCCCATTGCTTTGGTTGTGGTGTGTCATCATGGCCAGAGTAACTGCAAAACACACGTGTTTTGTTGACAAACTATACTATTAATTCATAGAAGACATTAAATCATATTTGTATTGAAAAAGTATGAAGAGGTTAATAAGATTATACTATTAATTTATAGTAGATATTAAATAATTTGTAAGAAATAAAGAAAAAGTATGAAGAGATTAATAAAAGTATACTATTAACATATAGTAGACATTAAATCATATTTGTAATAACCAAAGAAAAAGTGTGGAGAGGTTAATAAAAATCTATGCTCTTATGAAACATTAAGGCAACATTAGTCAGGTTCATCATAGATTAAACAATCCACAGGCTGTTCTATTTTACCATCCCACATAGGTTGTGCTCACCACTCTTAGCTATATCACTTAATGTGAATTTCCTCATTTACTCTTGATAGTATAGATTTAAATTTTGACATATACCTGATAAAAAATATCGGTGCTTACATTTACAGGCACAGTATGCTTGACAGTGAAACAGATTCCTTGAATAAATTACAAAATTTTAAGCACTGTAAACAAAATGTTGACACCAGAAAGTACCTAGGAAGGCCTCCGAACAAATAATTTTTTCATAGGTGAATATCTTGCCAGAGTAATACTGCTATGTAATTGGATATGCTGAGTCTCTGTCAGATTTTATATTGTAGCCAAGGGGGAAAAAATGGAACAATTAGTAGGAGTTGCCACAGGGGTAGATGTGGCTCTAGAAGGCAGATGCTGAAGTTTTCAGGTTCTTGTGTTTCTGTACAACGACCTGTACAGAGACACACTGATAGTTACAGGAAACAGGGATGAGATAAGAGGGGCATACAGGGAACCCTGGAGGTGTGCCATGCCTCCTCCGTGGCCTGCTTCAAGAAGTGAATGGAGAGAGGGGCCTACATGAGGTCTGCAGTGACCTTGCATGGGTCCTTAACATAGAGTTGCCTCTTCCAGATTCTAATAACCAGGGCTTTTCATAGCACTCTCCTTTGGCTGCATGGAGCAGGGATAGTGCTCCTGATAAAGGAAATCAGCATCACCAAAAGACAGAAATTAAAGGAATTTGTGATAATGTTGGCTGTGGGCAAATGAACTTACAGGGGATAAAGAAATGGGGCTTCTAAAGTCAGATGGAAAAGTTTAGAATCCACACTGGAAGCAGCATTTGAGGTGCAGAGCAAAGAAACAGTGTGAGGGAATTACTGAATTCATAACTGACTGGAAAGAATGAGAGAGACTTCTAAAGTCCTTGCACTATCACGGAAGAATGGAGAATAGGCACACCTAGAGACTGAAGGGCCAGTTTTCACTATAGCAAAAGTACACTTTAAGTTAATGAGTTCTTCCATGTGATCAAGTAAGTATCTGGTCCAAACTACAGACATTCCCCGACATGCACTGCAAGAACAAAACTCTGCCACATCCAAATAACGAAGATGCTTCCAAGTTCTTTTATTTAGCTAATGAATAAAGTCTAACCTCTTCAAAAGGCAAATAACTACACTAGAACTGCACGTTCTTTTTGTCATGCCGTTCTGAACAAAAGATTAGAAAGCAGCATGTTCCCACAGACGCAGAAGCAGACCTCCTTATGCAGCTCCATAATGAACACTTGACAACTGTCTGAACTGAGCACAGCAACAACGTGAAGACAAACCGGACAATGGGTGCGTAGTACAGACTTCTCTCATATCGAAAAGAAGGTGATTGTACAGAAGTGATGCCCACACAGGAGTTTAAATACACATTACTGATTATTTTTATTTATTGAAAACATAGATTTTTTTTTTAAAACCTCCTAATTATTTTGCCCTTCAAGATTAAAACTCAAGCAATATAAATATTCTGGTATAAAATTAATAGCTGAAAAAAGTTGCAAACCAATAAAGAGGTAAGAGGTTTTTAGCAATAATACTGTGCACGGCCATTTTTTTATTCAAACAACCATCTAGGCCAATAGTTTATTTTCCTTTTTTTTTTTTTTGTTTTTGTTTTTGTTTTGAAAACAGCCCTGCATTAGAGCACCAATTTTTTTTTCTTTCCTTTTTAAAAGGTAAGAACAGCTCTGTTTACAAACACTTTTCAGGGCTTTGAGTTTTCTGATGGAATTATCTAACAAAGGACAGTGTACCTTTGTAATTCCTTTAACTTCAAACCAGTTTCGTTCTATTCTAAGCAAAAATCAAAAAGGTGAACACAGTTCAAGAGAGCTTAATCAAACAAATAAATAATTGCTTCATAAAGTACTAATGTAAACAAGACCACCTCAGCGGTCAGAGAGATGACAATTTTCCAGCCAGTAGCAACTTTCATCAGTTCCAATTAGAAACACGGGCACACAGAACTCAAAGCCAGCAGCTATCAGGGGCCAACTGGTAAGGATTAACTATGAAACTGCTTTTCAAATTAAGCTTTTATTCTCTAAGTTTTAAAAAATTAATCAGAAAATCTGAACTGTCATAATCTAAAACCCAGAACCTACCCTAAAAATAACTATCTTAGAATATTTAACCCTACAGTCTTGAGATTAGTAAGAAATTACCCAAGCAAAGTGTAAACAAGCCTCAAATCTCAAAATTTTTTTTCAAAGGTTTCTGTAAACATTAAAAAAATCTACCTGCAAAAACACAGATATCATTTGTTTCTGAGAAATCCTTAAATTTTTTTTTTAAACATTGTTTCCAACACCATCCTAATAATGGTAGCTGAACTTTCCCTAGTATGTGCTTCTGTCTGAGCAGTCCATCTGCTTTTGCTGAAGTCATGTTTGGCCTGCATCACATGGCCTCTTCGATGGACATCATTTAGTCTTTTCTGTGCTGGTGCACCCTTAGCATCCCAACCACAATTTTTAATCCTCTTTTGTAAAATAAGTGTAATTTGCTTTATTAGATCTGCCAAACCACCGATTACAAAGAACCTGCAGCTTTACCAAAACTCTCAGTCTCATTTGGTCAGTTTCTCTGTCACTCTTACTCTGCTCCCATTTTTGAAATATTTAAAAGAGAACCTATGATAGTTACTGACCCAAATAAAAGAATTATTTTAGACAGGTAGCAATAGTAAAATAGCAATAGTAAAAGCTTTCAAGTTAAAAGTCTGCCCTTGGAACCACTCCTGTGGCCTACGAGAGCTTGGTAAGCAGTGGGTTAATCTGAGTAATGAGTGCTATGATTTGGATGCCAAAGCTAGCATATTACAAGTGACAAGGAAAAGAGATCTTTGAAGCTTCTTTGTCTTTTCCTTTTGGGTGCTGAGTTACGCCCCTAGCCCTATCTGCTCTTCCGTTATTACATTCCTCTATGAAAGCCACATTCAAGCAACTACCTAAACAAAGGCCAATATTTAATGCTTTAAAAGCAATTGAACAATTCATTAAATTAAAACCATCTTATTGGAGTTGACAGTGATTTATCTTTAGAGAAGGCCTCCAGGGGCCAGGAACTCCTCCTATTTTATAACTTGAGTGAAAGCATACAAAAGGACTGGCTAGGGCAAATCTGATAACTTTCTCAAATTTTACATTAAAAATTAAATTTGAGACCTGGGTGTGGTGGCACACACCTGTAATACCAGCATTTAGGGAAGCAGAGGCAGGCAGATCTCTGTGAGTCTGAGGCCAGTCTGGTCTACAAAAGCAAGTCCAGACAGCCAAGGCTACACAGAGAAACCCATCTTGAAAAAAAATAATACTAAATTTGAGAAAATGATATATTTTTAAATGACACCAGAACTGCCCAGATAAATATCTACAGGAATGTCAATGTTAGGTGATTTAACGTTAACAAAGTATAGACGTTTTCCTATATATCCTCATTAGAAAGAAACTTTCATCAGGTTGGTATACTTTCTACTGTATCACCTGCCCCTACCACCTCTACCAAGCAGTCTTTAATAAAGATAATTTGGATTGCTTATTCTAACGGTAAAATTTCTTATAAATCCTATTTTATACATTTGTTTGGTGTTTCCCCAAAACTATCATTTCGTACCAGGGCTTCTCCATTGTTCTCCATACCTTAAATACACATGTGGCACCAAATGAAAACGTGAAAACTTTGCTTTACTTTTGCTTTTGCTTGTGGTCTAAATCTTTTAAAATATGAATTCCTTGAAATGGATTTAAGCCATGAATTACATGTTATATTGACTAGTCTCTGTAATCAAAGAACACTTCAGTACCCTGGGATTTGAAATGATCTCTTTGCTTTCATTTCTTTTGGCTTAGGGAGGAGAGAAACATTTACAGGTTTGTTTCTTTTCGTTCAAGTTTGGCTCAGTGACAGTGAACACAGTACATCATTCAAATACTATTAAGCAAATGCAGCCTTACAAGGATATGGATTCCTGCAAGTCAACCTGCAGAGGAGAACTATCTTAATTAACCTGCAGTATATTTGACCAAAAAAACCTTTCGAAATGTTCTTTACTTTAGGATCTGTAGCCTCCATCCAGAGGTCCTGTAGATCGTGTAAGTGTCCATGAGATGTCATCATCTTTTCATAGATGCAGGGATGGTAAGGAACCTTCCCTTCCCCAGAAAAAAATACATGGTCCTGTGGCACTATCCCCATTTTATTGGCACAGAGGCCCATGAACACATCATCTATGTACAGACTGGAATTCAGCGTCTGAGATGCCTCATAGACTTTGGCAGCTACATCGCTGGAGATGATATAGGCAGCACCAGCTGTATAGTCAGGGTAAGCCGGCCACTGGTACATTTCATAGGGAACATAGTATTTGCTGCTTTTATCCCTAACAGGAGGGCCACCACGATGAACATGACCAATCCAAAAGTCTCGAACACCAGTCTGCTCTAGCTCTTGAAGGTATTCAATGAGGTTTGGCATGTGGATAAATATATCATCATCGGCAGTCATCAGGAATTTGGCATGTGGACAAAAGGTGTTTGTCCAGCTGAACTGAAGAAGTAATTTTAGAGTGAGATTGTAGAAAGAATCAACAAAATCTTGCTGAATTATATCCTTGTACACTTGATCTTCCCAAATCAGTTTTCTTTGTAAATCTTTTCCCTTCAGTGGACCAGGAATTCCTAATGCAAACAGAGTTTTGATATTGGCATTAAATTGAGAATGAACATAATTCTCATTGCCCCATGTTTTTCTGATTGCAGAACGCCGATCATAGTTCTCAGGGGCAGTCTTTATAAACAGTAAGAGGAGAACATCTTGAGCCTGACACTTGTCTTCGTGGTTGATCAAGTATGGGTAGTGAGCTTGCTCAGAGCTGTCCTTGAGAGATAGGGAATCATTCACAAAGGCATAGCTGTTTATGAGGTATCTGTAGGAGTAAGACTTCATGTGGTTCACTATGTGATTATTGATTGGACCCCAAAAGATCATGAAGCTTAATATAAAACAAGTGGCAAATAACTGAAAGAACTGCCATCTTTTGACTCTTCTGCCACTAACAAACATTCTCATGTTCTCAGGTCTGTAGTGAATGGACACTTGTTTCTTCAAGACTATAGAACTTCGTATTTGTAGAACAGATGTGTTTCTTAATACATACTGGTCATAAGATATGGTAAAAGGTCTCATTCCACATAATATCTTCTTCTGGCAACATTTTCTCTGGGATTGCAAAGGAATGGAACACTATAGGATGAGGACACTGGCACATCCAAATTCGTCCGCCCTGGCATTCCTCATTAAGTTCTATGTACGGGCTCACGCAGTTGCTCCAGTGGTTTTCTGTGCACATGCACTGTAACCCTACAGAGAGAACAACATGTGAATGGGTCTCTGAGTTACTGTAAAGAAAAAGATGACACCTTGTCCCTTAAACCTAATGTAACCTGACTGATCCTCACAAAAGTTTGTGGCATTAGGACATAACAAGAGAAACTAAAGTTTCATCAAAACTTACCCATACAGGGAAGGGGCATAGGAGGAGATGAGGGAGGGAAGATAGGATTGGTAGGGGACGAGGGTGGGGGTTACAGCTGGGATACAAAGTGAATAAATTGTAATAAATAAAAAAAAGCATATTAAAAAAAACTTACCCATACTAATATGAGTTAAGCTTTCTTTGAAGAATAAGAATAAATCAAGCTTCACAATCAGAGTCAAGATCTGCTTTTCAAAAGCAATTTACAAATTCTCAAATTACTTTTTGAGTTCTGAATCTGTCCAGGCACTCTCCTTACATGGACTTTATTATTTGGAAAGTCAACAGGCAGTTCATATTTAACAGGTTCTAAACTGGGTAGGTATAGGCAGAGCGTCCAAGGCTATTTCTGGGGTCAGGGGAGTAAACACCAATGGACTTCTAGCCACTTACTGGTTGTTGTAGTGTATCATGTATCTTACCACAAGCCCTGACAAACCAGGGAAAGTATGAGTCAACTCAGTCTTCACCAGAGCAAATGTGACTATGTATAAATGTGCAGGTAAAAGGGGAATTCAGTTAATTTACCCAACACACAAGGGTAATTTGAACACATTATTTGGTCTTCCTCCTTGACACCTATCTTAATTTGTGCCTAAATGTACTTTTTCCATCTATACCAGAAACTCAAAAGCCTTCCTTTGCCTTTAGCCCCATCTCCAATTGTTTAATCTCATGAGACACTTCTCAATGTCTTTTCATCCTCAGGTCATCATCAGTTCTCATACAGACTCAAGGGAAGCCTTTACCAGACACTTTAGTCAGAGTGAGCTTTCCAAAACTCTGATATAATCGAAGGCCCCTAACAGCTAGTGACAAGACAGCATCTACGTTAGGAGTTAGCATGGCATTTAAGGTCCTTTTGAATCTAATTCTCCAGCTATTCTATCACACGTTTGGACAACATCAAATTACTGGCTGTTCCATATCCCTGCCTTCTCCCTTTCATCAAGAGCCCAGTGGAATGGCATGCTTCAATTTTCTCATACCATGGTTTGTACACATTCCAAGCTCTACAGGTATCCTTCAGCTAGATGCTTCAACTATAGTTTCTTTACTCTGTCAATGATGTTCCTCATTTGTGCCTAGAAATATAATTGCTCCCACCTAGGGTGGCACATATGTTTCTAAGACATTGGTTAGGATTAGAAGGGAGAATTAATAAAACCAGAGTGAGCTTGGTGTGGTGGCACATGTCTTTAATCCCAGCATTCAGGGAGGCAGAGGCAGGCGGATCACTGTGAGTTCAAGGCCAGCCTGGTCTGCAAAGAGTGTCCAGGACAGCCAAGGCTACACAGAAAAACCCAGTCTCAAAAACAAAACAAAACAAACAAAACAAAAAAGACAAGGCCACACCATAAATCCCAGAGGGCAGAAATCCTGCTTTGTGCCCAGAGACTTGTAATCACGAACCTCCATCCTCGGCATTGATATAAAAACAACTGCATACCCTGAAGACCCTGCAGAAGGAGCCTAACTCCATTTGGGACACTGTCTTCCAGACCTCTGTGTTTTCAGATTCTGCTCTATTTCCTATTCTCCACAATTGTTCCTAGTCAGGGTAGTATCCACAAGGGCTAGTCATGAGGAATGTACAAAAAAGGATACTAAAGCAAGTCTCGCTGAGACCTTGTCCATAGATAATCAACATGCTTAGTCTTCTATCTCCTAGGATATAAATTTTAAAACTGCAAAAACTGATTAGGAAGTCATGATCAGCAAAAGAAAAAAAAAAAGGCACAGTATACAGAAAGCAGTAGGCATGAGTCTTATGCTGTATGCATTCAAGGATGCAATGTTAATGTATTAGTGGGGCCTGATTACCAAAAGGCCAAATGCCCTGATCTAAAGGATGAATCAGTAGGATGAAGCCTTCCTACCCCTCCATATGTTTATCATATTTGGATTTAATGCTCTGAAAGAAGGTGAGAGAAACTATAGGAAACACTAGTGTCTGATGGTGGGTTCTGTCTAAGGTTTGAAAAATAATTTCCATTCAGAGGCAATGCCTTTGTTTGTACAGTGATCATTCAGGTAAGGGATGCCCTGAAAGGCCAAAAGCAACGATGCTTTTGTGTTCTTTACAATATATCATAAAGGACCTAGAGATTTAAATTAAGGTAATAGATAATTCTTGATGGATAAATTCTTTAAAGCAGCATTAGCATTTATGAAGTCTAGGAACAAGTCTATAGATTCTACTCCAGCAGACCTTAGGAAGAGAACAGAGGTTGGTAAATGTGATTGTCAAGTCTTGTCAGGACTGTCAGGATCTAGAGCCACCTATGAGGCATGTCCTTTGGGCATGTCCGATGGATTCTTCTGCTGCCTAGAAAAGGAGGAACCAGGGAGAAGACCAGCATCACTTTTGTCTGCTGTCCGACAGTGGACGCACTGTGACCCACCGCCTCACCCTTCTGCTGCCATGACTTCTCTGCCCTGATGGCAAGTACCCTCAAACTGTGAATCAAAACAAACCTTTCTTTCCTCAAGTTGATTCTGTCAGGAGTTTTGTCTTAGCAATGGGAAAAGTAACTAGCATGCTAGCTTTTGGAATGTAAGGAAAGTACAGACATTGGGCTGGAGAAATGGCTCAACGTTTAAAAGCTCTTCCAGATTCCCAGCACCCACACTGCAGCTCACAATGGCCTCTAACTCTAATTCCTGAGAACCAAATGTCCTCTTTTGGCCTCCAAAGGCACTGCATACAGGTGGTATAGACATACATGTAGACAAAACACACACAGACACACACAGACACAAAATACAGGCACAACCAACTTCTTACCTTTGAGCAGCCACACTCAGCGAGCTCCAATACCTTTGCAAAGCTTACAGTGCCTTTAATCTGCTTTCAAGCGCATCATTTGGTTTAGCATCTGGAGTACAGGCAAGGCCACTGGAGAGAAGTGCACAAGTCGGCGCATCTGGAGGAAGAAAATGTGGGGCCTGATGGAAAACAAGTAACAAGTGTGGGGTTCAGCGCCCCCTTGCAGCACAGTACCAATCAACAATCTGGAAACAAGGGTGACCTCTGTCCCTGGCCAGGCTTATTGTGAAACCTTGGCTAGCCTTCACATCACAAGTTTTAGCATTTAATTTGCACATTAGGGGTGTGTATCAATGTAAACAGAGAGAAATAAAAATTACAGATCTCATCAGCGCTTACACATGGAATAGGGTAGCGTAGAGGGAGACGGGCAAAATTTGCACTACAACTCTAGTTTGTTTCTGATTTGGAAAAGGGAACTTAAAAAAAAAAAGTCATTAGAAAAATGAAGAACAGAAGTAGAACATTGGGGCTCAGTAGTTAAGTGCTTGTTACTTTCCAGAAGATCTGCATTCCCTCCAGCCCCAGGGGATTTGACACCACCTTCTGATCTCCAAAGGCACCTGCGAGAGAGAGCGCGCGCGCGCGCGCACACACACACACACACACACACACACTGAGTGATCAAGATGGGAGATATATACACACAAATAAAAATAAAACCTTTAAATTCTTTTTTTTAAAAAGTGGAACAAGGTGATAGACCTGTCCTAAAATATTAAAATACTTCTGAAATAGTCAGAGCTGTCCCCCTCAATGACTCAAAAGAATAGTTATTCAGACAAGAGAGATATATTTAAACGTCTAAAAAGAACCCTACAATTAGTGTGTCAAAAAGCTACAACTTTCCCTAAAATAATACCTGATTTTTAATACTTCACTCTATCAATCCACTTCCTTGCTGAATTTACCTTTGCAGTCCTGAAATAGCAAGGAAAACCTGATAAAAAATTTGCAAATTTAATCAAGATGGAGACAGCTGCAGTTTAACTGGTGATTGGTGTGGGAAGTCCCAGCTACCTCGGTGGCACAATCCATAAGTGTTTTAGATAGTTTGGGTTGGGAACACAAACAAAACAACAATCAAACAAAAACTACCAGAGAGTGACAAAGAGCCACAGACTGATGGAGTAAGCACTGGTCTTTCTATTCCAAACTGGCTTTAGTTGTGGTATTTATCATAACAGAAAGAAACTAGGACAGATTGCTTGCTGCTCTCTGTACCCATTTAAACTCCCACATCAATCATCAACTGAGATGGTTCCTCAGATATCTGGCCATAGGCCAATCTGATAGAGGCAGTTCTGCAGCTGAGGGTCCTCCTTCACCAGTAGCTCTAGTTTGTGTCGTTGACAATAAAAACTAACCAGCATACTGTGATGAACTCTCTCTTTATCTCCCTTCCTTCCTTTCCTTTTTTGTATAACTGTTGTAAAGTTTTTAATTTTTACTATTGGTTTACCTTCTAGTAAAGCTTGCTGCTAATCTTAAACAGCTGTATAACCAAATCACCACACAGAGACTGGGTTTTTAGTTAACCTAGAACACAATGCTGGGCAATATTTACTCCCTCCTAAACCTCCAAGCCCTCAGTTTCCTAACATTTAGATTTTCCACATTATACTTGCCTTTTGTGAAATCTTAGGTCTGGTTCATGCTCCATGTCCTCCAAGATCCCTCCTCCAGCTCTCTCTCCTAGCTCCCTCTTGCCCCTTCTCCTCCCACTCATCTCCTGCTTTCTGGCTTCTCCCCTCTTTCCTGTCCACTGGCTCCTCCCTGCTCAACATTGTGTCTTGTTGCTTTATTTTGTCCTGTTTACACAAAAGTTGAGACAGGTGATGCTCAGAGTAAGTATCACAATGCAATATCCAGATTGAAACCAGAGAGTGGGGGGTGGGGGGAGAGAAATCAGCATTTGAATGAACAAGGGTAAGGCGTATACATTTCAAAAGAACATTATATCAACATGTAACAGCATTTCTCTTGTTCAGTATGTATTAAGTTCGGGTAAATCTCATAGTCCTGTTGCAGAACATACGATGTATTAGTTCGGGGGGATACCAGTTTATCAAGGGTTTATGCCAATGTAGGATTCAGTAAGGACAGTATAATCTAGCATGAAGGCAGCCTAGAGGGGAGGGCTGTGAATCTGTCTGTTTTCTGTTGCCATAACAAAGTACTTGAAGCTGGATACTTATGAAGAAAAGAGATTTACTTAATCCTCAGTGTGGGAAGTTTGAAGTTCAACATCTAACAGTTCTATATATTTGGCCCCTGGCAGTGGGTCCCTCTGGCCAAGTTACGGAAGAAAAGAGGGAAACAGCTACATTCAGGAGGGGCTATACCGGTGTCATGGCCTTATCCCGTAACTACTGACTCTCCAGAGAACTAACTTTGAGAACAGCATTAATCTTTTAGAAGGCCAACATCCAATGACCTAATGTCCCTGGGCTAGACCCCATCACTTTTTACTACCATCACTTCTTACTACCATCAATTGGAGACAAAACCAAGAAGAGCTTGTCAGCAGAACAAAATCCCCACAGAGCCTGATAAATGCTTGGGATGGGGAGGAAAGGAGCAGGACTGAAATGAGATTTCAAGAACCACTGACTGAAGGAAAGCTGGCTCACTGAGGTAGGGGCTGGGGCAGAGTACTCACAAGGGAGGCATGCAGAACAGGAAGATGGCTTGACTTTATACATGTGGGTGAGTTCTTCACAGGTCAGGAGAAGCGGGAAGATTAGGGCTTGGGGGACACACTCTGGAGAAGGAGAAAAGCAGGAGGACAAGGCGATGGGTGATGAGAGCATTTGTGCCTTCTTAGACCATGGTGTGGCTAATGTGGGTAGTGTGTAAACAGCAAAAACCAGCTCTTGTCATGGAGCTTTCACAAGACAAAAATAAATCCTGACATTCTCTTTAAGTAGTCAATGTTACTTGAAGGAAAGACTAATGAGTAAGGAGAGGAAAATTGAGCAATTTATCCATTCTGTCCTAATTTTAGTTTTTTCTTTCCTCAAGAATAAAACATCGTAATTAAACTTGCCTAAGAGGGGCTCAAGAGATACTCAGTGGAGGTTTACTCAACAAGAAAAAAACAACAACAACAAAAAAAACAACTTGGTATTTCAATTTACACATCTAAAGTGTGAAGCATCAGATGTCCTTTCAGCCATTTTATTATTCTTTAATTAGAAACATTAGAATGTTTCTAATGTAAGATCTGTAAAAAAAAGAAAAACTTAATCCGACATTGATCTTAAGTTGTGTTTGTGGCTGTGACTTTAGTCATAGAACTCTAGTTTTATCCACAGGCAAACTGCAGAAGCCATCATTATTCTTCCACAAACAATGCATTCATAGTTAGGTCTTCAATGTTAGTCAAAGACTTGAAGTTCCAATTTAGCAAAAATGGATTTGAGGGGCACAGGGGTTCGGGTTATCCAATCTACTTCATGATCTAGTTGTAAGATTTCCAACTAGGTAAGGTAAATTATGTTTCTTTTTGTTAAACATGGGCTAGATGCATTTGCAGGGCATGGGAGAAGCAAAGACAGAGAAATATCAAATGAAGAAATGGGTGAAGATGAGTCTTAGGGCTCTGCTAAGAACTGGCAGCATGGTGTTAGAGAGAAGCATGATGGTTTATCTTATTAAAGATTTCTTGAAACTAGTTTGATTATGTGGGATTTGAGACAGAAAATATAAACATTTGCATTCTTAAACTTAACCTTCTAAACACATTCTTGCAACACATTTTTTTTTTTTGAGTTGACAGGGCTGCTTGGTTATTCTAAATAAAATCCTCCACTGTGACCAGGTTTTGCTTAGTTTTATTTTGTTTTCTAGCTGAAACAAACTTCTCTACTTTTCTATCAGCAGTTACTTCCATGTTTTACAAACAGCACGCATTATTCTTAAGTGTGTCACATAACTGTTAACCTGTGAAGCCTAGCAACAACCTATGGGGGAGAAAAGGTCTGTCAATGTTTACAGAGAACGAACCGAGGCATTGAGGTACCAGGGAAACCATTTAACCTTTAAAATTCCCAGATCAATGTCCCAACTGTTCACTGCCCTTCCTTGGCTCTTCCCACAGTTCAAATGAAGATGACAGAGAAGAAAAGCAGGTTGGGCAAGGCCAAGAGAAGCAACAGGAAAGCAAAGAAAGCTCCCTGTGGAACTTGGAATCATTCATGATTTTTCCACCATCCACAGGTGGCAGATTTTTTTCCTTCACATTTTTCACATTTCCTCTACTAAGAAACCTTTTCTCAAGTCTGCAAGGGCACAGATTTCCACCTCTCTCTTTTTAACTTGGTCCCAGTATCGGCACACAATAGACAATGATGGTCTAATGAGCCTGTGTCCTGTATTTGAATAGTCCTTTCTCCAAAGATTATCAGAGGACCTAAGGATAGCCACCCAAAGTGGGGGATGTGGGATGAAGAAAGAAGTGGGGAAAAGAGGAGAAGAGGAGAAGAAATTTAGAGGATATTTGAAGCAAGTATTTTATCAACAAATACTGAGTAAATAGAAAACGGAATAGTCACATCACACAGGGAGTCACACCCTAGCTTCAAATGTAAAAATGTATTCAAAGCTGGCTCATAAAATGATAGGTAGAAGGTGAGCATAATTCAGAGAATTCATAATTTAGAGCATAATTCAGTTATAATAGACTGTTATAAGGCTTATAGCCAGAATAAGAGAAAAAAAAAACCCACAAGTTCACATGTTAGTGTCAGTTGTCAATCCCTTTCGTGTGTTACAAAACACAGTAAAAACTCTCATTGCTCCCAACTTCACTAGGATGTGCCATGTATATCGACTGCTTTATCTGAACCTTAGATTTAAAAAAAATTGGGGACTTTTTTTCAAACATTTTTGAGATTTCTTAGGATACAGAAGAAAATATTACCCAAGGTAATCCAAAATGTTGAATTCAGTTGGGAAGGGAAATGAGAGGCCATGAATCTAATCTCATCAAACATTTGTAAAATGTTTCTCTTTCTGAGAGAGAGAAAAGAGGGAGAAGTTAGGAAATGAGGGCAGGTGTCCACTGAGCAGAGCTGGAGTAAAAACTGGGTTCATATGCAGGGGAAGAGTGGAGAAGGAGCCCTGGGTCTAATAAAAGAACGTGCCTGCATGCAGTGAACTCGAGCTGCTTTTCCGGTGGGGTGGAGGAGCAGGAAGCCAGATGTTTCATTGCAAGAGAAAGTACAGAAAATTTAAAGCACACAAAGAGAAACAATGTGGCCAGGTCAAATAAGTTCCTGGCAGTTAGTGCTAGGGAAAAGATGTCAAAAGCAGATCAGAGAGGAGGGCTTGGGTTCAATCATGTTGTTGATATTCAATGATGTTGAATATCTTATGTCCAGCAGCAGTCCATCTGTTTATGGGCCTACAGAAGCACCATTTGATTGAGTTTGCTACACAGAGGACAAAATTTAAAAGATAGTGTCAACATAGGAGTATAGAATTGTCTTCACTGAACAACGGTGTATTATAACACTTTATCATTTATGAAGCATGTGCCTTGCTCTGGGCACCCTTGAAAAGTAAGTAATGTCCACATGTAATGAATTTAACAGATATTAACTAGCCACATACCTGAAAAGGCAACAGGCAGGATTCTGGGTATGTGACTTCAGAGACCTTTCAGGGGTTGATATCCCACCAAAGAATCAGTAGGTATAATGTTGCGACCTGAACTCTGAACCTTATAAATAGAAAATTCTAGATTTTTAGAATGCAAAAAAAAGTACATTTATTTAATCCCTTTTATTCGTCATGTGCACTTGTTTTTCAACCAGGTACCACTACATTCTGAGTATCATTTGACATAACTTAACAAAGTGTGGGCCACATCAACTACTTCATATACATTAATCTTTCTCTTCCTCCTATAGAAACTATTCATGGATCTTTATCAAAAGTTGTTAGGTGGCTGATATTTCCATGTGGGTATACACCTTTCAAACCTGCTGTATTCCAATACTCTTCTAAAATAAATTAACCAGATAGGAACTTACTAAAATAGTGATTGCTAACAGCCACCTCACAGATCCTAATTGACCCAGGGTGGTATCTCATTTTCCTTGACCAGAAAGAATGCTAAGGATTGCCGGGTATGGTGGCATAAACCTTTAATCCCAGCACTGGAAAGGCAGAGGCAGGCAGAACTCTGTGTGTTCAAGGCCAGCCTGGTCTGTAAACCGATTTACAGACCAGCTAGGGCTGCACAGAGAAACCCTGTCTTGAAAAACCAAAAAAGAAAAAAAATGTTGTAGTACCAAAGACGTCTTTCAGTGACAATGATATAGGTTAGTTAAGGCTTGTCAGTTAGGGAGACTGAAACCTGAGTGGAGTCAAACTGTTAGCTTATTTTCTTTAGAGCACTATCACACAGTTATAGACAGAGTTGTGGGAAAGTAGAAAAAGAGACAAAATATAAAATTTTAGGTGGATTTTTATGTCATATGTCAACTTGACCTTTTAGAATTTTATTGCCTACACTTGGTAGTGCATAGTTTTTGTATAGTAAACTGGATTTCTAGTGTTAAATAATTCACTATATAAACTAAATCTTCGCACAAGACCAATAAAAGGCAGCCTTTAAGTTCATAGCATTAAATATAAACAACGATTAGACTCCCCAAAATCTGACCGAGGTTGATGAAGTTAATCTACACTGGGTTTTCATCTTTCTCAACTGGATCCAAAGAACATGGAGCACACAACCCTCAGAGAAAGTAAGAAAAGTTTTTCTTAAATAGAAATTAGGGGTAAAGGAAACTTGGTTCTTTCACTGGAAATGGGTCTCAACCTCAAAGTGAGAGAGTAGAAGTAAACATGAGCTGTTTTCAGGTCCCCAGACCAAGTGTTCTGTATAATTATTAAAATATTGAAATATTAGTTATGATCCAAAGGAACACAAGAGTCAGAGCAACTCCTCTGCAACTTTATACTAGGAACTAAAAGAAAGCCTATGAAGAAAGGGTAAGTCTTTGTCAATCACTTTTTAAAAAGGAGAGAGAGAGGGAGAGGGAGAGAATGAATCTTCTGCCAGACACATATTGGCAGGGCAAGTGGAGTGGACGCCAGAGCCTTTGAACCTCCAGGCCAGCCAGGCACATTCAGGACTTGTCCTCCCACACTATGGGCTGAGCTGCGTGTCAGCCCTTTCTGCTGGGAAGCTCCACTGCCACAACGTGAGCTTGCTTGGCTGTCCCAGATTTAGTTTAGTTTAGTTTTTTTTTTAAATTTTAATTTTTTATTTTCCCTTATAGTGGGAATGACTCAATATATATGACTTATAGTGGTCCCTTCATGGAAGTAAAAAAATCAAAACAAGCCCAACTTCTAGTACAGAAACAACCATAAGCAGGGCATAAAGCACTAAGCTAATGCTGTTTGAATTCACAAGGGATTAGCCAATCATTATATGAGGATATTCTCTTCTAATCGTCTAGTTAATGCTGAAATGAATGCTTAAGTTTCATAGTATATAAACTAGGAGAGTAAATGTAAAATGGTCATTTTGACATATCTTATCTGACCAAGCTTCTTATCTTGAAATATGAAGATTCTTTGTACATGAGAGTATATGGGAATATGCACATATATTTCCATATATGAGGAAATGCAAAAAGTAGTGTGCACTATATATTGTGTAGTGTACTGTGCACTAAGTAATTCTAGATTCACACTATTCTACGTCTGTGGTAGCAGAGATTTGGTGTTCAGTGGAGGAACTCTTGGAGTAATTTTCTTGGATCTGCCCTACTGAGAACACATAAAATACCTAACACAACTGGGAAAAGACTATTTTCTGGCTTTCTCCCAGTTTCTTTCAATATATGTTCTGAAATGCAAATTTTGAATTCACTTGGGCTGCAGACAGAACTCAACGTATAACATTTGTAAGTCAGCAAGTGCGATGACTCTTATCCAAAGTGACCCATTTTAAAAGATGACCCATTTAGAAATCACGAGTTATTATCCGAGCTGTTATAGATCTGAGAATTAGAAACCTATAGACTTTCACTACGATTCTGTTTGGACATATTTTGCTTTTATAGAGACATTTGATTCAGATTTAAATAAAATATATAAGTGCTTTTGTACTCAATAGGGCCTAGATCTTAGTTTGAAAATCCCTTCCCATCTTCTGAATTTTCCTTGTAAGCAAAGCAATTATAAGCATCTCTATGGCTTACTCATCTTTCATCTCCCAGGAAGGGCTCCTGTGAGTTACTGAACTTGTTCATGGAAACCTTAAGTGTCATAAGTGAACACTTCCTTGGAAGACCAACAGGTACACAGTCAGCCTCATTTTTTTTTTTTTTTTTTTTAAGTATGGATAAGTGGAGGAGGAGGAACAGGCATGGGGAAAGGAGAAGGGAACACCTTAGAAGGAAAAGTATCTTAAGTACATGATGGAAGCCCTTCAGGTACTGAATTTATCTTCCATTTAAAATAATCCCCCATCTCCCACATGTTTCTTTTGACACCCCCAAACCCATGCTAGACTGAACCCAAAGTCTTCCACTTGCAAGCCTGTATCCCCAGCTGTCTTTTGATAAAGTTGAAATTTATCAGCTGCTTACTAATCACCCTTTCAGTGTTCAGGGTGGGGTCATTTTTGAACTGTCTCCAATCTTTCTTTTCTGGGTCAGTTTCAGATTTCTAATATTTCTCTCCCTGGCATCCGTGCCCCCTGGGACCAGGCTGTTTCCCAAAATAAAGGCACAGAGGAGCAAATCCAATTTTAATGGATGTACGTTCACCAGAAAGTTACCCTAAATATTAGCTCTACCAACCACCATGCGGTGGCATCTGTGCCCCTGTAACATGACCTGTAACCTAGGAAAACCATTACTGCTGGCAAAGAATGTTAGTCAAAAGCTGTTGCTTTTACCTATTGAGTATCTCTGAGCAATCAATTCACCAGGAAGCTATAGATAATATGAAGGAGCAGCCAGGAGTTTCTGACTAGGGAGAACTTTTCCCAGTTTCTCCTACATGCCTGCTACCCTGTTTTCATTTCTTCAGCAAATAGTCCAAAGCGCCGGTCAGCTTTCCTTGTGTAAGCAGCCCCAGGCGTTTGGCCCGAATTCTGTCTGGCAACGGTAAAACTCTGGACTCAGACAGAAGCCTCGTGGAGGCTGAGGCTGGGCTTCCCGCCTCTCCCCACCGGCAGACCCCGGAAGGCTGCTCTGGACCTCGCGACACAAAGGCTGGGCAGCTGGGCCTGGGTGGTCTCCGCCCGGCTCTCGCGCCCACCAGGCCGCTCTGAACAAAGGCGAGGGAGCGCTCCCTTCCCTCCGCACTTGGGGACCGGGCAGCTTCGGCCCGCACCGAAGAGCCGTCCATCTTCCCGACGCTGTCCGCCCGGATGCCCCGTATGGACCAGAGAGCCTTCCCTTCCCGCCTCGCGGAGACTAGTCCGGTCCCAGGCTGGTGGAGAGGAGAGGGGAGGCGCGGCTGGGCGGGTCCCGGAGAGGTGCTCCCTGAGCTAGCAGCCCTCCGGGAGGACCTCACAGCCCGCACAAAGCAAAGCCCATCCAGGGACTTCGGACTCTGCAGGACTTGCGGATGCCCCAGGCTAAAAGCAGCAGAGGTAAAGCCCCCTTTTCCCGCAGAGGGGCCTTGGCTCACAGGAGGATGTGGCGGGCGTTCTGGGTGGGCAATGACTAACCTTTCATGGAGGAGTGGCGTTGGTTAAGACCCACTCATCCAAACCACGCATCAGCTAGTCATTTCCGAGCTGAAGGCTCTGAATGGACAGCAGTTTTCCGATCACCACAGTTTCCCAGCAAGAACGCCTATGGGCAAGCGGGTCTTTTGTCAGGAACTTACGTCTTGAGCTTCTGGGAGCCTAAATAACAAAGGAAGGAAACGCGAATTTACATGTGACGATCCCTGCACAGCCACAGTTCATTTCAAAAGCAAACCCTTCCCCTCTGCCCAGCTTCCCCCGCTGATTTACCTTCGAAATCGCGTAATTTCAAGCGAAGCACTGCAAAACTCACTTAAAGTACAAACCTAAGAAGTCCTTAAACGTCCCAGTCAGAGGTGGGCTCTCTTCCAAGAAGCCGGGGAGCTAAGTCTCACGACCAAAACTTACGGACTAGATTCCGATGTAAGCCAGGCTGCTGGGGCAGGGCCACGCTGGACACCCCGCCGGAGCCGGCTGGAGCCGGCCAAGCGGGGCGGGCCCGATCAAGGGTCCTAGCTCCGGGCTGCTGCGCCGCCGCAGGAGCTCCTGGCTTGGTCACTCCACTCCAAGACTCATTACCAATGCTCAGCTCCGCCTGCTCATCCGCCCCAGCTCGCAGGGCTTGAGAAGGTGATGCGCCCCGCCCTAAAGTGCTGTCTGTGGTGGACTCCAGGAAGTAATTCTCTCACTCTTCTGCTAGTAGCTGGGGCTGTTGACTGTTGATTCGGAGGACCGAGTGTACACCTGAGCCCACACAAACGGGCGTAGCCAGACATTATCAGAAGAGTGTAGACTTCGGCTAGTAAATAAATCCTTCTGTGGCTAGTTGCTTGCTTGACAAATGGTGCTCTAGATCTTTCCTTATAGATGCATTCAGTGGCGGTCCTATTTTGAGCGGTTCTGTGGTTATACATACTGAAAAACAGGACAGAAAAAAAAAGTTAATCCAAAAATTTCAAGTCCAAGTATGGGTTTGTGATTGTAAAAGGCAACAAGTTCAAAGCAGTTGCTAAGTCAGTTTAAAGCTATAAAGTCAGCATACTTGTTATTCCAAACTCTAATTTTAGGTGATTTTGTAATTGCCTTTGTAAAAGCCCTTCAGCACATTTATTTCCAGCCGTGAATTCTTTTCATGTGCTATTCACACAAGGCATGGTTCACTGTTTCTTACCTGGTCGGCAGACCACAAGCTGAGTACTCATGTAATAGGGCTCCTCATGGAGCCTGACATAGACCTATAAAGAGCATCATTCGCTGTTACGACAGGGTTAATCACCTCTTCTCTACTGAAATCCTGAGTAATAGTTCTCTCCTAAAACACAAGGGTTTGTCATATTCGTATACAAATATTCAATTGGGACTTTGTTCCTTTTAAGTCATTTGGAGCTAGTTCTATGTGTCAGCTTATGTATGTAGGTACACAGGAAATACCAACTGACAAAACGTGGAGGCGTATGAAAAAACAGACCTTTTCGCCCTTGTCTATATATACAGATAGACATGCTGACAAATTATTTAAAAAACAAACCCAGCTGGGTATAGTGTCACATGCCTGTAATCTCAGCACTCCGGATGATTTCCATGAGTTCAAAGCCAGCCTTGGTAACATAGTATCTCACCAGCTAGGGATACAAAGAATTTAAAAACAAACCAACCAACCAACCAACCAACCAACCAACCAACCAACCAACCAACCAACCA